TTTTTTTTTTTTTTTTTTTTTTTTGAAGAAGGCACGAGTTATATTGCGAGCTCGGACATCTGAGGACTGTAATCTCTGGCTGTTCTCCAGCCTGTGCTCAGTCCAGAGGTGAGGTAGGTACATCTTGATCAAGAAATGGACTTAAATGAATTTCTCCTATATCCTGAGAAATCTGAGATTTTCTGTTTCCACACCAGATCTCATCCTACCATAAGTTCACAGCTGTTTGCAAGCTTCCCCTTTTGTGCCAAAATTTGCACTTTCCCCAAAGTTATGCATCACTTGTGCTCATTTTTATTTTAAAAGCAGCTATTTTAATCAATGATTAAATCACGTTGGTGTACAAGCCCCCTCCCAAAATGCAATTTTCATGACTTCTGTTGAAATATACGCATTTCTCTTGCCTACAGATTACACTGCAAGCTTGGACAAAGGTTTGCATTCCAGTTTCAGAGGAGGAAACCGGGCAACTTCAGCTCTAAAGCAAACTGAAATGGATTTTGCATACATCACTCTTACAGGTGTGCTGAAGACACAATCCATCATTTGGTGAATGGAGTTCACACCTGGACCAACACGGTAAGTACAAGGGTCAAAGGGGGATACCTCTGTTTGCTTTTCAATTGATGTTCCATCCATTTAGCCTTCTGCACAACATTCTTCAAAGAGTTCTGCTGTGTTTAGTTGTTACAAATAGTTTTAAACAGCCATTGCAATGTGTCATGCTTTCTACTGCTATTTATACTTTATGTCAGGGGTGTCCAACCTTTTGGCTTCTCTGGGCCACATTGGAAGAAGAAAAATGGTCTTGGGCCACACATTAAATACTAACACTAACAAAAGCTGATGAGCAAAAACAACAAGAAGATCTGTGCATAATTTTCATGATATCTGTCACCACCATGCGCACAAATAGTGAGAGCATGTGTACATTTATTTCATGTGACATCGCAACATGACATTGTCATGTACGAAGTTCACGCTTGAGAACTGCTCAGTTGAGTTACCTTTTTTTTTTTTTTTTTAAAAGGTCCACGTTTTAAGTTTACGATTTTATGTTGACCACATTCATAGCCATTCTGGACCACATGTGGCCCATGGGCCATGGGTTTGACATCCCAGTTTTATGTATTTTACATCCTGTGTTGTTGTATTTGTGAAGTACTGCACACCACCCATAAATCTTCAGCTTTTCCAACAATATGATTTGAGCCCTTGTTCCTAAGAGGCTGATCAGAGAATTTCTATGTTAGCATTCTAGGTGTAATCTTGAGAGAGAGAGTGTGTATGTGAGAGAGATTTAGCTAGTGGTTGTAGAAATCTTCAAAGTTTCCTCTGATCTTTCTATTCTGTTTTTGTGTATTGCCAGCCCTTGGTGTCAGACTTGATAAATATAAGTGGGGGGTGATACTTTTCTTCAAAAATTGTATCTTTCCATCTGTTTCTCCCTCACTTGGCACACGTAGTTGCATTATGTAGACATGCAAAAGAAAGCATTTTCACCGTGTGTTGCAAAACCCACTTGCAATGCACAGGCTCCTTCGGAGGGTCTGTCCTCGCCTCAAATCTACACGCATCTCTCCAGGAATAGATTTTGCTAGTGAAGGGTTTGGAGCGGACCTTGTGGTTTCCTCCACACCCTTCCTTCCAAATGGTGTGAGTTGGCCTGCAACTAGAACATACGTTCAAATGATATAGGTGTCACTGAAATGCATGGGAAACTAAAAATACCTACTCAGGAGTACTGATGTGTGAAGAATCCCATTTGGGGGAAGGGTTCCTTTGGACTACCTTGGCTCAGCTCCCTGGACTCCAGCCCACTCTCTCTCGTTCATGTGGGCACCTGACAGGAAGCAAGTCCCAGTGAGTACTTTCCACCAGGTACTTGTGCTTAGTGTTGTATAGTGAACATATATCCACTGCGCAAATAGAGTTCTGCTGCACACAGGTGGCTTGTGGGCTTTGCACACTTGGCACAAAGAAGCTGCGAGCATTTGCGCACTTGATCTCAGCTCAGCTCACTTCCTGGCCTGGGCCCAGCATGGGAAAGCAGTCAAGTAAGTACAAGAGAGGCAGAGTACGGGCTGATCTTTCCATCCTTACTGAGCAGAAGTTCTCATTGAATTGAATCAAACTTTCCCCCAGACTGCAATACTATAACTACTTAACTGGGAGTAAATTCAAGTAAACTCGTCACACTGAGCAAAGAAGAGAGAAAGAGAGAGGGGTGTGGACACTGCACACAGAATCATGGAAGAGTTGGAAGGGGCCATGAAGGCCATGGAGTCCAACCCCCTGCTGTTGCAGGACACCACGTCACACCATTTCGCTCAGAATGGACCACCGTGTTCCTCTCACTTTTGTGGGTTGCCTAGAGGAACTGTGGCCCTCAACAAGGTTCCTCGCTTCTCTGATAAGGCGAGGGCTACAGATCAGAACTTCAGCTGAGGGTTTAGGAGGGCCCATTCATACAGGAGGAAGGGTTCCAACTAAACTCATCGGGAAGATGAATCTTGTTTTTCCCTCATACAGGTCTCTGTGGTCTTCAGTTTGTGTGTGCATTTATGCAGTAATCTTCCCAACAGACTACCAATTTAAAAACAAGATGCCATGTCCTTGTGTATCCATAATTTGATAAGAAATTGGTCTGAAATGCCACCCAGTTTAGCTCTGCAAATAAAGCAGTTCTGATGGTAGGAGGTGAAACATCTTGAAGCAAAGTATTGCTAATCTGTGCTATAAATGTGGTAAAATCAACTGCCACTCACAGCTCTTGTCTGGTGCTTGAACTATATCTTCTCGGCAGAGATGGAAAATGTTAAAGATAAAAATGTTAAAGATATAAATGTTGTCATTTAGATCACACCTTGTTTTCCCCCGCGAGTAACTAAAGTGAACTTCATGGCATGGTGGGGACTAGAACCCCGTATGCCCAAGTCCCAGTCTCATCCACATTGGTTCTGTTGATGGTGTAGAGTTCTATACTCCGCCACCACATCACCGGTCCATTTAGCTTAATAGGAAGTCTCCAACTTGTTCTTCTCCAAACTTCATTCCTCACAACAAAGGGCTGCTGGCCTTGTAACTTCTAGGTGGAGAATCTGAAGGGATAGTATTTCCAGAAGAACGTTCATGGCTTGATATTAAAACCCTGCCAGTTGCTCTTAGACTCCACTAGAGTCATGTGTTGGCTCCCTAGCTCCAGAAGTGCTGACTAAGATGTTGCGACCTGTCCTTAGTAGCAGATGTGGCCCATTCATCTTGACCTCCAAGCCTCCTTTCCTGAGTTGTCCTCCAGGAATGGGGATGGACCTCCTAGAAGGACACCACTAGAAGTCATTGCACAAGCATGGGCTTTTCTTCCTGAAATCCAGAGTTCTGTAATGCTCTTTCCTAGACAGTCCGCATGTTTTCTTCCCTTCTTCCTGCCTGCCTACCTGCCTGCCTACCTGCCTTTCTCTCTCAGAAATAGCTGTATAAAGGTAATTGACCAGGGACCAGCAGAGGGAGCTCTTGCCCCCCTCCTGCTTGAATGATCCTCTAGGTAGCTGGTTTGCCACCGTGTTTGTGGAATGCTGGACTCGATGGAGCTTTGGCCTGATCCAGAAGCACTTTCCTTAAGTTTTTATGTCCTTCCTATGCAGGTTTCTTGAAAACTAGATGAGGTTTTGTACCAAGGTCACTATAATTTAAACCTAACAACATGATCACTGCTACACTGCCTTTCCATTGGTTTGTATTCCTGCTCCTTTCACCAGGATGCATCCACACCCACGTAAGGCATAGGGAAGAGGAGATTATATAGAATTATGCGGAGTGTCAAAAGAAGGGCACAACTTATAATAAGAGCATAGTATGTTCAGGTAGAAATTGGGGGGGGGGGGGAAATCTCAAGGAAACTCTGTATGTCTTGGATTTGTTCACCTAAAGATTGTGATTTTTTTGACAGTCAGAATCTATGTCTGACGGTTCTTCATATCCTGCCATTTTCTTTCCGCCCCCACAATGTTCTTCTACCTACATATTCATATTTTCTTTTTATTCTTTTTCCTTTTCATACCTGAGTAGAATTTAATGGAGTTACGTTTAAAAAATGTTTCTATTCCATTCGACGTAATCCATCAACACACACTTCTTATACATTGTGCAGAAATGAATCCATTTCAGCCGAAGAAGCAGATAAATCAATTTAAGTGGGAGATTTCTTGACAGTTTAATTCAAATTAAGTCCACTTCGTTCAATTAAAGGAAGGATGGAACTTGTGGGTGGTGGGGAGGGGGTGCAAACCAGGTAGCAAAAGACTAAGAACAGACTTAAAAGCATGACTCAAGAGAACTTTAACCACAGCTTTTCAGTGGTCCAGACCTAGGCAGTTAAAGAAAGATCTTTAAAATATGGGAGTAATAACCAGCCAGTAGTATATGTACTAGCAGTGAAAGGTACATTGCGCTCCTATAAAGTGGCTCTTTATTTCATGTTTTGTTTTCGGGTGGGTTACAAGGGGGTTACAGCTATATTCTGAATATTCAGGGACTGAAGGGATCGGTGAGATTTACTGGTTTAAAAGGAGGTTGTAAATCTGATGTGCAGTTCAAACCTTTGTGCACCTCCCAAGAAACCTTTTTTGCTGTTACTGTTGGGAATGAACTTTGGAGAGCTGAGAAGACGTTTGAACAGCCCTCATAGTTGTACACAATGCAATGGAGTGAGTGGTGTTAAACCCCACCTCTGCCTACCCTCCTGTAATCCTGTCCAAATACTTATTAAATATCTATATCTATATATATTTATATTCAGAGAGAGAGAGAGAGAGAGAGAGTGCCTTGTACAGCAGCTTACACCTCAACTATAATATTAATAAATATAAAACAACTGCTATTGCAATCTCAAATTTGGGGGTAATGACTGGAGAGACCAGGGAACATTCAGGCTGCTGCATGTTTTCCTCTGGACTGGGTCTTTACAAATGTGTTCTCCTATATCCCATTGAGCTAAGGGGTTTAAAATAGTAATTATACTTCTGCATAATGGTGTGCGAATTAGCAAAACTTGAGCTCATTCAGTTTCTCCACATTCCATCTCAGAGCTCATTCCAACTCATGTGCATTTCAGATTGTACGTTTTGCTTTCGCTGTGCAGAAATGTGTGCCAGCTTGCATGTGCATGTCATAAAGTATGCATCCGTTGTGCACAGTTTTGCTATGCACAAATTTCTTTTCTATTATTAAGGAGCATATATGCACAGTTCTTTATGCATTTTTAATTGCATGCTTCCTTCCATGACTGAAAAGCAGGGAAATGTAAAGTCTTCAAGCACAGATTGTGTTTGGATCCACATTTTATTTCTTCATTAGATTTATATTGTGCCCTTTTTCTTTTAAAGAACTCAGAGTGGCTTCTATCATCCCCCTCCCACTGCTCTCTATCTTATCCCCTCAACAACCACTCTGTGAAGCATGTTGGGCTGAGATTCTGGGACTAGCCCAGTCGCCCAGTTGGCTCCCTGACTGGGCGGGGACTAGAACCCAGATTCCCTGGGTCCCTGAGCTGTGTGCTTAACCACTA